CCAGCCCACCGAGATGTTTCACACGTCACCCACCTCTCTTGGCCGAGTCCACCCAGCTTGTTTCATTGCCTCAGCTGCCTCCAGCTGCAGGTTTTGAGCTGCTGCCTTCCTCCCAGGTCCATCAATTACGATGAGAAGGATCCTTTCCTCTGCAACGCCTGTGGCTTCTGTAAATACGCCCGCTTCGACTTCATGCTCTACGCCAAGCCCTGCTGCGCCGTGGACCCCATCGAGAACGAGGAGGATCGCAAGAAGGTGGGGCAGGCAGCAGGGGCAGGCAGGAGAGGGATGCTGCAGCTCTGGATCCAGCCCCTGACAAAATCCTTCAAGGCTCCTCACTGCCTAATTCTGGGTTTGGGTCTTGCTGCAGCAGAGAATTCCTCAAAAGTCAGCGTTCAGTGCCTCGCTTAGGAGCTGACTGCATTTCTTTGCTTTGGCATTTGGGTTTTGGCACTGGGTCTTGCTTGGATTTGGGTTTTTCTGTTTGATTCCCATCCCACCTGAGGAGCAGTGCTGGTGGATGAGGAACCCTCTGCACTCCATGTGCTGTCCCAGAGGATCGGTGTGCTCGGTGTAATGTCACAGGCTGTGCTCAGTAGTGTCACCAGAGTGTTTCCCAGGGCAGAGCCAGGCTGCAGGGTCATCATTTAGTGATTTATTCTTATTTTCCCCACCAAAGAAAAGCCAAAAGAGAAGATCTGGGGCTTTGTGAGTGTAGTCCTGCATATAAGAGTTTCCTTTTCCCTGGGCAGGCAGTGACAAACATCAACACCCTGCTGGACAAGGCTGACAGGGTGTACCACCAGCTGATGGGACACCGGCCACAGCTGGAGAACCTCCTGTGCAAAGTGAACGAGGCAGCCCCTGAAAAACCCCAGGTAACCAGATCCAGACCCCCAGGCTGGGGCCACACCGGCCTGGACTCTGCCCAGGGCACCCAGCTGCTGCTCTGCAGTTGTTATTTCAGTCTGGAGCCCCCATTTGGGATTCCTCTTTGCTTTCCCCCCGTTGCAGGACGAGTCTGGCAGCAGTGGAGGCATCAGTTCTACCTCAGCCAGCGTCAACAGGTACATCCTGCAGTTAGCCCAGGAGTACTGTGGGGACTGCAAGAACTCCTTCGATGAGCTTTCCAAAATCATCCAGGTACAGCTGCTTTGGTTTGGATTTGGGTCAGCTGTTTATTAGGAAAAAAAACCCCCCAAGATGTTCCCATTCTTCATTTAATGTCATTAGCAACAGGTGATCAGCTGCGTGTTTTCAGGGAAATAATAATAATTTCTAAAAGCTGCGTATTAATTACTAAAATTTCAGCTAGCTTGTGAAACAAGCAGCTCCATGAAGAGCAGGAGACTGAACAGATGGTTAATTAAAGAGAATTGAATTTTTGCATGTTTGAAAACACAGCAGTCTAAAAGGTGACCTACAGAAATGTTTTATCAGTTAAATGTATTTATTTCTGTTCAGCAAGTCCCATAAACACTGGAAAACCTGCTACATCATAAATGTCCTTTTGGCTGCGATATTTAAGCATATTGAATATATTTTGCTCTTTCTATAAAGAACAAATTACTCTGACTTGCTCTGCCAGTATTAATTTGTCACATTCCCAGTAATTAATGGTGTGGATTTGTCACATTCCCAGTAATTAATGGTATGGATTTGTGATATTTCCAGTAATTGATGGTATGGATTTGTCACATTCCCAGTAATTAATGGTGTGGATTTATCACATTCCCAGTAATTAATGGTATGGATTTATCACATTCCCAGTAATTAATGGTATGGATTTGTGATATTCCCAGTAATTAATGGTGTGGATTTATCACATTCCCAGTGTTACATTGCAGGTGGGGAGGATAACTGGGAGTGAGGCTGATATTCCTCATGGATAACTGGGAGTGAGGCTGATATTCCTCATGGATAACTGGGAGTGAGGCTGATATTCCTCATGGATAACTGGGAGTTAGTGAGGCTGATATTCCTCATGGATAACTGGGAGTGAGGCTGGTGTTCCTCATGGATAACTGGGAGTGAGGCTGGTGTTCCTCATGGATAACTGGGAGTGAGGCTGATATTCCTCATGGATAACTGGGAGTGAGGCTGATATTCCTCATGGATAACTGGGAATGAGGCTGATATTCCTCATGGATAACTGGGAGTGAGGCTGGTGTTCCTCATGGATTTACCATGAAGGATTCCAAGTTTGGAAACGCTTGTTTAAAAAAAAATTCCTCCTCCACAAAAC